GAGTGCTAGATCAGCAGCATCGAATAACCCACTGAACTATTATTATTATTGTGGTCACAATTGCATCGTTACTAAATTCTGTTTGTAAAAGCTGAATGTGCAAGGAAGTTTTCATTGAGGACCTGAATTCCTGAACATTTCAATAATATTCAAATTTTAGGCTGTTCCTGTTATGGGAAATTTCGAACAGATTAATATTTGCTCACAATCAGATGCATTTGCTCACTATCAGATGTTAGTATTCTTCACTGCAAACGTCTCCTTGAAGCACCTTACTTTGCCATTAATTTTTGTTTCGCCACGAATCGCTAATTTTTGATAGCAGTTCTCTCGGTGAATAAGCGTGATCGGTTGGGTTCTCTTCTTAGGATGTGATGTGTTCAGTAAGGTTCTTGTTGAAGGCGATTCCGCACGAGCGATCTCTAACGAAGGAATTAAAAAAAAAGAGAAGACGTGTGGACTTATCGTCGCATAAAACACGGTTCGAATTGTTGACATTGTATTCTTGGTGTTATTACTTCAATGATGGCAGATAATTCAACAGCATTGGAGACAGCATTCTGTTCATCTCATTTTATGACAATTGTGTACAATTAATATTACCAGTAGTTATTCAAATGAATATTATCGTACATTATCATACAAACTTGTTTACGGAAAGCATTACACCTGCTGCCTAACCACAATAATAATAATAATACCGACGATAACAATGACTCTATTGTTCGCACTCTATAGGCACCCCTCCAAAATTCGCTTCCAATTCAATGAAAAATCCAATTTATTCTTTATCTGCTGCCAAATTCTCTCCTAATTAATGATAAAGTTGATTTCTTACTGTGAAGTATCATTCCATTTCACCATTGAAATGGTTAACACCGCATTCCTCAGCAGCAGGACAACCTTCCAGGAAAGGTAATGGAATATCTCCTTTGATGAAGATTATCTGTCTCAAAAAGCAGTTTCTCCATATTTTCCAACGAAATCTTTGTGCTAGACTGAGAGAGAAGAATTCCTTCTAGAATCCCAATCGAAACTTCTAAGCGAGAATTTCTGTTCACATTTCTTGTCCCGAGGTTTGCTTAGCATACTTGAGCAGAGTATTCAAGCCTGCTGTCCAGTGAAACAGTTTTAATCGAGCGCAGTTTCAATCGAACTCAGTAAGCGCCATGAACAAACACTTTTTTTGGATGTATTATACTTTGAAATCGCACGCTTCATGTTTGCTGATTGTGAGTGTCTGTTCTGGCGTAAAAGACTATGGTTTCGTTCAAAGCACGCACCCTTCTTTTGCGTAGTGCTTGAAGATCTGATCCGTAAGTATCCATAAGTAATCAGGCTTTTTCAGGCCATACTAACCCGTAATCCATCAATTTCATCCATTACTGTCTTGAGAAAACAATCAATCATCACTAGCCATATGCTTTCTGTTAGTTCACAATACTGAGGAAACATAATTTGTCAAATAGTGCGACGTTGGAGTTGGTGATACGCTTGGTTGAAAATTTGCTATTCAATATCTTTTGGAAAACGTTATTCTTGATGGAATTTTTGATTGGATGTGCGACGAGCAATGACTCAGACAATGTGCAATATTCCATGTATATTAACAAGCATTCAACCGTATCAAATCAAGAATTTGCACTGGCAGACGGTAAGTTTTGTGCATAAAACAGACGCAGATGGTGAATGCGTGTAATATTTGGTGACATCTGTCATTGTCTATTAATATTACTATACATATCTAATGATCATCGCAGCATTGATGAGTGATTGACACTATCACAAATGTTTCATTGATTGATCAGTATCAGCCATACGATAGGCTCAGTGAATCAATACTGATCACAACATTCGCTTGAGCTCACTCATAGTTTCGTTCGTAGAAGTTGGTTCAGTAGTTTGATACGCTCTTATTATATCATTAATAAATGTTTTAAGTACGTTTCATTGACATCTGTATTCAATATTTGGACATCAAATTATTTATTGTTCACTGAATATGTTAGCAACTATAATAATTTGTGCATGATTTTATGAGGTACATTTGTTAGTGTGTACTTATAAATTCATTTGGCATTTTTATCCATTTTTTCAAGATTTAAACTGCTCTATTGCAAATATCGTTGCTGATATTGAAATATCTATGCGAGTGCATTTATTTTTGTTAGTGATTGTTGCTTCGAGTTTTCCAAAAAAATTTATTTGGGCAATTTTTTTGTTTGTACTGGCACTTGAAGTGTTACAGTTTTTTGAAATGAATAGATTGTGCGGATTTCATTTTATGGGTGAGCTGCTGTGATTTTTTGACTGTAATCTCATCTTTTGACGTACAGTGTGTTTAGGGTCTAGGGTTATCGAGGACTTTCTAGTCGGATCCAGTGAGCTCGTACTGGAACTTTAAAGTTTAATTAAAATGAGCCATGATGGCGCTGTTTGCGATTGTTCGACGGTTTAAAAAAATCATTGATGCTCTCGAATGTTCCTCGGAAAAACTTTCGATATTCGGCAGTTTCAAGGATACAACTATGAGATTTCTATCATAATCACATTCATGACGCGTTACTTCCATTAATCTTCACGAATATTCCTTGAAATATCGCTCTGTTCACGTCGTTCTTCCAAATCTCCGTTTCTGCGAGGTGCCCTTTTACAGGGATGTTCATTATTGTTACTGTTTTGAGGTTTAAATCAACTTATGAGCAGTAAATTTCAGGTTGGAATGCGTTCAGTGAAGGTTGCACGTGTACAAAATTAACTACTCATTTGGCTAATCGAAGCAACTTACAACACCTATCTCTGTGCTATTTTCGTCTAATCGCCTTTCAATTGAACGCTATTCCGACAGTGAGGATTTCAAGCAAACGTGATTCGAGTGATTGACTGTTCGAGTATAGAATGAAGCCATCAGTAATTGACGAAGATACATCAACAACACTCGAAAATACACCCAACAACAACGATAATCGTATTGAATGCAAAAATGGTGACGGTCTCACCGTGACGTCTCTTGACGACAATGACACGTGCAAATACGGTGAACTTATCTTACTCGGGTTTGTTTTATAGTTTTGCTCAATTTCACGAGATCATTTTCAATCATCTGCACCAATTTAAAAAACTGTGCTCAAATTTCATCTATCAATCCGGTCACAGATTCGAGATCATTTATATCCGGTCACAGCTTCGAGATCGTTTATAAATTAGATTATCAAAGTACCCTTAGATATCCGGTTACAGCTTCGAGATCATTTATAAATTAAATTATCAAAGTGCCCTTAGATATCCGGTCACAGCTTCTATTCCGGTGAGCAGAAAAAAAAATTCGTGCAGAATTGGATTTTTAGAATGATTATGATCTGGTTAAGTCAATCCAAACCAGATCAGACTCATTCTAAATTTCCAAGAAGGTTATCATCTATTCAGTTTATAAATTATTATCTGTTCAGTGTAATCACCATTTCGAGATCATTTATAAGTTACTACCTGCTCAGTGTAATCGCTCGTTTGCGACTCAATTTTGGCGTACCGACCGTGCTCATGAATTCAATGATTTGGTTAAGTCAGTCAGCGATCCACATTTTTTTGGATTAGTTTTAGACGGATTTGTGGATTTCGTGGGGTCATATGGGTCGTATTTGTAGAATTCATGCG